TAATGGAAGCATAATGGCAGCATTCGCACAGTGTAAATAATGCAGAGAATGCGAAAGACAGGGATCCTGCTCTCATGAAGATACACCGTTTTTCTCTATTTTAAGTAGCTGGATGGGGAAAAATGGTCTAAAATAGGAAATGCAACATGAACACTGTGTTGAAAACTGTGCCAAGATTACTCAAATTCTAGTTATTACTGATCAAAGTTTAACTGCTTCATCATTTTATTTTAAGAGGGGATACTGAATGTCAGAAAATCTGTCATATGTTTGAGAGATGTAAATAATGTATACAGACTTGTATGTGATGGGATGGGAAATATTTAAATTCTAGGTTTTTTTTTTTAAAGGAAGAAACTGAATGTTTATTTAAAAAATTAATAAATAGTTCTGTTTGGCCATGAATCCTGACTTTGCATTACTGATTATTTTTGCTATAGATGTTCTCACATTAAACACATTCCTAGGGAAATACTGAAAGTATGGAATATGTTGGACATTTAAAATTTGTTAGGCATTATTTTAAAGATTTATTTATTTTAGAGAAAGCGCACATGCATGCGTACATGTGAGTTGGAGGATGGGCAGAGAGAGAATCTTGAAGCAGACTCCTCGCTGAACGTGGAGCCCAATGTGGGGCTCCATCCCACAACCCATGAAATTATGACCTGAGCCGAAACCAAGAGCCGGATACTTAACCGACTGAGCCACCCAGGTGTCCCTGTTAGGCATTATTTTTAATAAGGTTCACAACCACCCCAGAGGTTAGTATCTCATTGTCTTACATACTAGAAAACTGAAGCTCAGGAATTGTATAAGTCACTGATTAGGACTAGGATTTAAAAACCCAAATAGGCTTGACCTTGAAGCCAATGCTTTTGTTTGTTTTCTTTAAATACTCTACTGCCAGGAGAACAGTTAGCAAAATAATTATTTGTTGGCCTTTCTATCAAGCTTTTATCTAATATTTTGTTTTCATTATAGGCCATTAAAGAATATTAATAAGCAGTATTGGAGGATCTTCATTTTGCCCTGATACCTAAATTCCAAAAGGAATTGTGTATTTTAGAGTATTCTCAGAGTGTTTAATTATTTACAGATATTTATGTTTAGAGGCATTTGTGTTTGGACAATCAGGTCCACAGTCGCCCAGTGTCACCAATTGGTATTGTAGAAAAGATTAGGAGTAGAAATACTAGTCCATGCTGATATGATTTGTGCCTGCATACTTTAAATAAAAACACCTTGTTATTTTGCACATACAGTATCTACAAAGCATCCACTGTGTATAAAGAAATACATACCCATGTAAAAATTAACTATATTTTGGTAATTAGGTCATTTGCCTCTATTGTACTAAATTTAAATAGTTAATTTTTCATTATATAATATTACTTGGATTGATGAATTTTGGTATCAAGTTCTAAATATTCCTTTAAGCAACCACGTTTAATAAATGTTATACTCCTGTTTTAAACAGCTTAATGAGTACAGTGTCACAATTTCTTGATGACCTAAGTTTACCTTTACAAGCATGCAGTGTAATATAGCTTCCTTTGATAAGGAGCTATATAGGATTGATGGCTCCCTGCTATGCCCTTCTAGCTTGTTATTTTGCTATTGCACTTCAGATTTGCTGGAGGCACCCTGACTCCCCACTCTTGTTTTATGATGCCTTCTGCATTCATGTGTTTCTAGGCAATAATGAAGGTTACAAGGAGTATATTATAACCAAGCTTATTAAGTCAATCAATATCATTTTACAGAAGTTGTTGGGTTGGTGTGTACAAACGCATGGGCTGTAACCACTACTTATCAATGTTCAGGGACTTTTTTTTTTTCCCTTTGTTCTCATTTTCTGAGTCGGTTTAGAGTTTTCTTAATAAACCTCTATGTCAAGATCGTGTCCTTAGTTATACCAGCATTCCCACAGAAGAAAAAGAATTCCCAGATTGAAGGAGTTGTAAAATTTCTGGCATTTCGAAAGGGTGAAGATGGTGGCATGCTCATGACTGGCTGGGTGTTCCCGGTCTTTTATCTGCAATTCCAAAATCTGAAAAGCTTGGAAAACAAAGTATTTTCTTGAATTTAGTGCAAACTTAACCTGTTCTGAAGTTAATAGTTTTTATCCCACCTAATGGGAAATCTGTGTTTCACTGCAAATTATCGGTGTATTTAACACCTCTGCAGGAGGGCAAGGGATGGTTATATATATATGTACTACACGATTGTAAATTTCTTTTCTAAAATCCAAAAATTTTTGCATTCTGAAACATCTGGCTGCAAGGGTTTCAGATAAGGGGTTGTGGATAAAATCAAGGAATTTTTTTTCTTCAAGATTTTATTTATTTTAGAGAGAGAGTGCAAGCAGAAGGAGGAACAGAGGAGGAAAGAATCTCAAGCGGACTCTGGGCCAACCCCGGAGCCCAATGCAGGGCTCTATCTTATGACCCTGAGATCAGGGCCCTGAGATCACGACCTGAGCTGAAACCAAGAGTTACTTGACTGAGCCACTGAGGTGCCCCAAAAATCAAGGAGATTTTAAAAGTGCTTTTCTCTTATCTCTTCCTTGCATTATACAAAGGTTATTTAGGAAAATGGTAAATTATGCTGAACCTGATGCCAGGAAAGCCGGGTTTCCCTCTCTGCCCCATCGACTTCGTGTTTTTAAGGAACGCTTTCAAGCTTTGAGGAACTCAAGTTCTCACAGCCAGAATCTGGCAGAGCTGGAATTTGAAACCAGTTTTTAATTTTCCACTGCTTAAACCCCTCAATCTCTGCATTATACTACTTTTCTTTTGTGGAAACCACACGGGTTTTCCTATTTCTCAAACCTACACATCTTTATCAGTTCCATATGGAATTTCTTTTCTTCTACTTTCCTCCTGTTTGAAGGTCTCATTCACCCTGCCTTACTCCTCTCTCTGTACTGCCAATATCTTTACCATTTCATGGGTTTTCTAAGCTTGGGTGTGGAATATAACACCCTGTGGCTTCCCTGGCTTCCTTACCATCCCCGATGACAAGTGTTCAGGCTTTTTCATTTCAAGGATCCTGCTGCTAATCCCTAGGGGGATAAACAAAAGTAATAAACATAATAAAATAATTACAGAGATATTAACAAAATGATTTTTGCTGTTTTTATTCTAGAATTCCCCATGAATTCACATTTTGATTTCTGCCTTCTGTTTCTCAGAATGGATTCACCGTTTACACCCCTTCTGACTCTACCATTAAGATGCATTTCAGGTCTGATGGTAATTGCAAGGTAAAAAAAGTAACACGGCCTTTGGTTTCTGTAGACCATTTGAACTCAGGAACTTCTAGACTGGGTAGTGTGTTTACTAGATCTTTGCCAAGATTAAAAATGAATTCTGGGTGGTTTTTTTTTTTTTTTAAGATTTTATTTATTTATTTGACAGAGACACAGCGAGAGAGGGAACACAAGCAGGAGGAGTGGGAGAGGGAGAAGCAGGCCCCCGGTGGAGCTTGATCCCAGGATCCTGGGACAATGACCCGAGCCGAAGGCAGATGCCCAATGACTGAGCCACCCGGGCGCCCCAAATTCTGGGTGTTTCTACACTGTATCTATCCCAGCTAGATAAGTCTTCTAGCAAAGTTCATGGCACAGAGGTGTGCATTCAAAAATTCAGCATTTGTTAACTATGTGCCAGGCGTAGGGCATGCAAAATTAAGCTATCTATATTCATGCTGAACAGAAACCCACCCAGTGTGGTAACTTCCGCATAGCATTGTAGGAGCAGAAAATTTTTCCCTTCTTCCCTTCTAAGTTCTTTTCCTGATCTAATAGTTGCATTGACACAAGACAGATCAACAGGAGGAAACCAAATTTAATTCTATATATATATAGAGAGAGAGAGAAGCTCCATAAACATAGGAAATTCAAAGGAATGACCAAAGTAGGTCATTGTATCTTTTAGACAAACAATAAATTAGAATTGACAAGACAAAGGGGTTTGGGTTTGGGGTAATAAAATGGTGAAGTAGCAAGGTTTGTTAATAGGCCTCCTCGGCCCTAAATTCCCTATCTGGCCATAAGGAGGCCTTCTACCCTTCTGGTACAGGGAGGATACCTTTCACATAGATTCATCTCCTTTTAGTGGGGACAAAGGAGGGGCAGAGTGTCCTTGCACTATTTCTAAAGTACCTTTACTTCGAAATAATCTCTATGCCGTAGTGGCATATTTTGGGGTGGCATATTCTCTTTCAACATAAATGGGACTCAAATGGAGACGGGTTTGAGATCAGGAAAAGCTTGCTGTGGAGTGGCGTCTGACTGCGTAAATTCCTATCAGATCCACTCACTGCCTTTGAGACTTTGAACAAGTGGCCTCTCAGTGCCTGTTTCCTCACTGATAAATCGGGCTAATGGTGGGACTTCCCACACTGGACTGCGAGTTATTTCAAGAACAGCTCTCAAAACAGTGCCTGGCACGCAGCAAGAGTGCCATACATTTCCTGAGGGCTGGGGTGCCCAGCGGCACTTTAGCCTGATGGTTGTCCTCCAGGCTGACTACACAGGGTAACCCGTTTGATTTTTCCACCTCATACAGCTTCCCAGTCAGTTCTGTTCCAGACGCTCTGTTTATCTCCACAGGCCCCACTGGAAAGGCCAGTTCTCCAAAGTCGGGGCCGGCCCACACCTGGTGACGAAGGCAGGTGGCACCCCCTGCCCTCGCTCGCCCTCCAGCTTCGGCGGTCACCCTTGGTTCCACAGCTCTCCGGAACGCCCGCCCCGAGTCCCGGGAAGAGGCGCTCCATTGCGCGCGCGGTGCCCCCCTGTGTTCCCGCGTAACCCGACGTGCCGGGCGCGCACGCAGAGGCCCCGCCCGCGGCGTCGAAGGCCGAGGGGCTTCGCCAGCTCGGGGAGAGGGAAGGGGCGTGGCTTCCCGGCTGGGCGGGCGGCCGCGCCGCAGTCCCGCCCCCATCGGCAGCTGCCTCCGCGCGCCAAAATCAAACCCCAGGACCCGGCGGCTGGAGAACCTGCTGCAGGCGGCAGCTCAGCTTGCGTGTCAGGTCACGTTCGGCAGTGGTGTGAGCATCAGCGCGCGCACCTGTGGCCACTTCCCAGCCCTCCCTGCTGGATGCGCTCCGGGCCGCCACAAGACCAGAATGGCCACCCCACCGAAGAGGAGCTGCCCATATCCCGCGACTGGCTCTGAGGGGACCCGCATCAAGAAAATTGCCATCGAAGGGAACATCGGTGAGGAGCCTCGGGAAATGTTCCCAAAGCACGGGGAGCCGCGGCGGCGGCAGCAGCGCTCCTTCGCTGCATCTCTGCTGCTCCTCAGTGAGGGCTTTCTTCCAGCCTGGCTATGTAGATGCGGACACGGCCTCGAATTCCCTTCGCTCCGAAATCATTTTGCCCTGTCCTGCCCAGCTTCTGTCCCGTTCCCCCAGGGTGGCGGTGGCCCCAGGGCGTCAGGTCGTGCACGCCCGGGCCTTCAGGCCTCGTTAAGGTGCACTTTGGGCCAGTTTCCTCCCCTTGTTGGAATTGCGCAAAGGGAAGGGTTGTTTTTGGTTTGGTTTTTGTATTGAGGGTGTGTGTGTGTGTGTTCTTGAGGTGTAATTTACATACATTAAATTATCCTTTTTTAGGTGTCCTCTTCAATGAGGTATGACAAACATATAATGCTCTTTTACTACCATCATGATGAAGATTCAGTACATTTTTATCACCTCAAAAAGTTCCCTGGTGCTCTTTTGTAGTCAGCTCCCTCTGCATTCCTACCCCTTGGCAACCACTGATCTGGTTTCTGTTTCTGTAAGTTTTGCCTTTTTCCAGAATGTCTTATAAATGGAACGACAGAGTATGTAGCCTTTTGTGTCTCGCTTCTTTTATTTAGCATAACGCTTCTTTTATTTTAGCATATTGCTTGTATCTGTAGTTCTCTTTTTTTGCTGAGTAGTATTGCATTGCATGGATATACCACAGTTTATCTCTTCCCAATTGTGAACATTTGGATGATTTCCAGTTTTAACGATTATGGATAAAATGGCTCTAAACATTGAAGTACAAGGCAAGAGGTTTTTTTTGTTTGTTTGTTTTTTTAAAGATTCTCTTTATTTGACAGAGAGAGACACAGTGAGAGAGGGAACACAAGCAGGGGGAGTGGGAGAGGGAGAAGCAGGCTTCCCGCGGAACAGGGAACCTGATACGGGGCTCGATCCCAGGATGCCGGGATCAGGACCTGAGCCGAAGCCAGAAGCTTAACGACTGAGCCACCCAGGGGCCCCAAGGGAAGAGTTTTTTTTAATGATCTTAATATCATGGCGTTCCTCACCCCTGCTCCCACATCCAAGTAAACACTGGCTTTTTATTCAAAGACCAGTACTGTTTCTGTTCCTAACCCAGATGAGGGCAGACTATACCATGCATGTCATTTTGCAAGGTACATCTGAACTTAAATTCTTCTGTATTTCCTACCACAGGAAACCTATGTCTGACACTTCCTGTTCTGATAGAATTTTTTTGGCTCCAAGTTGGGTACTGGCCATTCATGCATACAGCAAATGTTTTTTAATTCTTACCACATTCAAAGCTCTTGTACTTCTTTAAAAAGATGGGGCAAAGCAGATGCTATAGCAGCATTCCAAGGAGTAGAAAATTGCTGAACACGCTCTTAAAGAGGAGATCTTGTTGCCTTGCTCCAGTATTCAGGCACCAGTGTAAAAGGTCCCTATAATAGACTCTCATTTCCTCTTATGATAAGTTCTTTGAAGTTGAATTCAGTTTACTAGTAGGGTTCCTCATAGCTACATATTGGATAAAGAAGAACATATGTAAAGGAGGAAGTAGTTGAGCAGCCATTTCAAAAGTAAATTTAAATGAACAACCCTTCAGATCAATACCACAATGAATTAATCCCCTTCCCTTTCTTAAATCCAATTAAGCAACATATCATATCTAGAAAGTTACTACTCCCCAAGCATCTTTAATCTTCCCAGCACCTGAAATAATTTCCTAATATGTCACCCCATCTCCAGTTTCTCTTAACTAGCTCCAGAGCAGACTTTCTATATACAAATCTAATTGTGTTATCCCCTACTTAAAATTCTCTGATTTCTCCATTACCTACACTGGAAGGAGTTGCAAACTGGTGGCTTGCATTTGCACAATAGTGGCCTGCATAGATTTGAAAAAAAAATTTTAATGAATTACTAGCATTTAAAAATTTTGAGATTTCTTGTGAACATCTAGATTCTTGGCATTTCTTAAAATATCTGAAGATTTGGTAACACTGGATGTTTCTGTAAGATAACAATTTGCTATTTAGATGGGTTATGTTCCTTACCATTTACTTTTTTTTTTTTAAGATTTTATTTATTTATTTGAGAGAGAGAGAATGAGAGAGAGAGCACATGAGAGGGGGGAGGGTCAGAGGGCGAAGCAGACTCCCTGGCAAGCAGGGAGCCCGGTATGGGACTCGATCCCGGGACTCCAGGATCATGACCTGAGCCGAAGGCAGTCGCTTAACCTACTGAGCCACCCAGGCGCCCTTACCACTTACTGTCTTCCTGATGCTGAGGCTTTGTCAGTTGCTGTTAATGTGCTAGCGCTATTGTTCCTGTCCCTTCCACCTTATTTGCCAGACCCAAATAAGTATAAATGTACAAATTGCTAATATGTGTGTAGAAGACTATTTAGTGATTCCTAGAATTTAAACTTTGGTCATTTTAGTTTTATACTCAGTAACTTATCTTCTCATGTTCTCTGTTGCTAAAATACTCCCTTGTATTAGATTTATGGAGGCCCTCCCTGCTTCTTTTCATCTTAATAGTTTGTATAGATGATTTTTGGCATCGTAATACCTGGTTGGCATTAGTAATTCTGTTAGGTCCCATGACTTTTAAAGTATTAACATCAGTGTCTTTGGTCCTTGTTCTCCTTTGCTTTCATAGAATATTAATTTATTAATTGGCTTATTTTCTAGCTCCCCACTTTCCCCCAAAAAGTTAAGGAACTAGATATTAATTTGATTGGGAACTACAGGTAACTGTTGTTACTCTGCTTGAACTGAAGAGTAATTTTAAAGAATAGCTGTTTTTGCTCTTAAAATTTTGGAGTATGATCACATGAAATTTTTCTGTTTGTAGGCATGTCAGAAGACAGCTGAATGTTCTAGCTTTAAATGCTTTCAGACTCTGGCTGATGCCTGATTTTTTCATGTGTTCCTTGGATCATCTTTCTTTTTTTTTTTTTTTTAAAGATTTTACTTTTTTGTCAGAGAGAGAGAGCACAAGCAGGGGGAGCAGCAGGCAGAGGGAGAGGAAGGCTCCCCACTGAGCAAGGAGCCTGATGTGGGATTCGATCCCAGGACGCTGGGATCATGACCTGAGCCAAAGGCAGACACTTAACCAACTGAGCCACCCAGGTGTCCAGATTGGATCCTCTTTCTGAACATCATGTTTTCCTTTCCTTCTTCTGTCTACCTCAGTGAATGTCTAGTGATCATTTTATATGCTTCTGCTTACCATTCTAAATGCTCCATACGAAATCTGCGGTACCAGTCTTTTTCCCATGATTAAATCTAATGGTCATCTAGTTTATCCTTAATACCTTTTCTCCTATCCTGTGGGGATAATATGACTTTGTTTTGCTTCTCAGCAGTTCTCTTTTCTATATTACCTTCTTATTGACCCCCTTCCTCCCCATCCCTGTTTTTGCTCTATGTGTGATCTTTTTAAAAAAAAAAAAAAATTTATTGAGAGAGAAAGTGGGGGAGAGGGGCAGAGGGAGAGAATCTTCAAGCAGACTCCCCACTGAGCTTGATTCCTGACATGGGGCTTGATCCCATGACCCATGAGATCATGACCTGAGCCAAAACCAAGAGTCAGACACTCAACTGATTGAGCTACCCAGGCGTCCCTCTATGTGTGATCTGTTAAAGTTCTGGTTTTTTTCTTCTTTTCTATTGCCTATGTAATGTCCTAGGTTTGAATATAGTTATTCAAGTCAAAAGTAAGTTCTTTTTGCCCTCTTTGGATCCCGTTTTATAAGGATGAGGAAGCTTTCCTTGTAAGCTTACAGAAGATGCTTTTTTATATTTTAATCTATGTGTGTGTATTTTTATATACATATGGAGACACATAGAGAGACACATTATGTTGACCAGAGATGTCTAATATAACCACTTTTGGTGACTTCAGATAAGAAGGGTGTGGTGGTCATTGGGATTGTTGCTACACCCTGTAAAATTCTAGGTTAAGACTTTCCCTACTGTTAAATGGAATGTATTCCCAAGTAATATTAAAATAGTGAATATAATATGTCCTGATTATACCTGAACTATTTACGTTATTTTCCATATAGGTGTCTCAGAAACTAGTGAATGATCAGAGAGGAGCAATGTACATACAACTTTTTTTTAAAGGGTTGGATAAGTGCACAGAACCATGAAAGTGAAGCAGAGAAAACATGGCTATTCCTTATAAGGGTCTTTGCAAAACTGTTTTTATGATTTCTGTTAGGTACTATGGCTTAATGTTGTATAGTTATATAATTAGTGTCATATAATCATACTAATTCTCATTGTAAAACTCTGGGTATTGGATACATCTTTATATTGATTTTATAGTTCATTTGGCTGTTTCTAAGTTGGTTTTAGATAGGAAAGACTTAAGTTTGTAAACAGAGAATAGAGCCAGTAGACAGAAAAATTTTGAAAATGCAAGAGCCTATAATGATTGTCACTGTAGTCATAGCTTGTTTATCACAACAGTTTCCATAAAGAGGGTATTATTATTTCCATTGTATTATGAAGAAACAGGCTCAGAGAGATTCAGTGACTTGCCCACAATCACATATCTAATTAAGTGGAAGAATAGCCTTAACCATTTCCCACAGTTATCTCTAATTACTTAGTTAAGGAAAGTGAGGCTAGGACTAGGATTTTTTTTTTTTCTGCCATGACACGTTGCCAAAGTTACACCAGATTTTAAATTCTTCTATTCCGTGGCTTTGATAAACTAAAAACAATAACAAATGTGCTTAATACAAGTGGGTGGGGACCCTTTTAGTTTTCACTGAAACACATCTAAAGAGAAAGTTTGGGAAATTGAGTATTTTTGTTTTTTGTATTGTTTGCTAGTATAAATTTTGAAAAAGCTGATGTCTATTTTGACTTTTTTTTTTTTCTAAGTCTCCTTCTTAGTCTCCTTCTTTAATTTTCCTTTTCCTCTCACAACAGCTTCAGGGAAGACAACATTTGTGAATATCCTAAAACAGGTCTGCGAGGATTGGGAAGTGGTTCCTGAACCTGTTGCCAGGTGGTGCAATGTTCAAAGTGCTCAAGGTGACTATGAGGTATGAAAAAAAAATTAACTAAATAAATATCTATTGCTTTAGAGGACCAGTGGTATTTAACCTTTTGGGTTTTTGGGTTTTTTTCCTAATAACATTTTCACATCTAGCTTTAAGTCTGTATCTTCATCTTCATACATGGATGTGTGTGTATATGTGTGTGTGTGTGTATAAACATTCATTGAGCTGTGCACTTAAGATTTATGTACTCATTGCATCTAAGTAGAATTTTAAGAGTTTTTAAAAATCAATTAAAAAGTTAAAAAAATCTAATGGCAAATTAAATTCCTTGAGTAGCTTTTTACATTTTGTTTAAAAACAAGCGAACAAGGAAAACAAAGACCAAAAAAACTACCCAGTAACTGAATTTTATTAGTTTACCTTTTTTTTTTAAATAAAGATTTCATTTATTTATTTGAAAGAGGGAGAGACACTGAGAGAGCAGGAACGGGGAGGAGAGGGAGAAGCAGGCTCCCCCCCGATATGGGGCTCGATCCCAGGATCCTGAGATCATGACCTGAGCCGAAGGTAGCCGCTTAAAACAACTGAGCCAGCCAGGTGCCCCTATCAGTTTACCTTTTGAGTCTTCTGTATTAGAGAGAAGCATTTATCTTCTTATTTCTTTGTACTTTTCATTCTTGCCAGACTTTCACCCTGGACACAACTCAATTTCCCAGGACTTTCCATTCTACATTGCAAATAAGAAAGAAGGAATAACAGTTAAATTTTGGTTTTTTTTGCAAAATTTTTTATTGTATGTGTATGAAGGAAAGAGATCTGATTGCTAAGATTTCATTTCTGGAGAAATGAGACTTGAAATTGAAAGCAGCATAGCAGAAATCTTCAAAATGGAAATGTGTTCTAGAAACTTACTTTGTTAGAATTGAGGAAGATGGAGGATTGAACAAAAATGTCTATTTTTTCAAATTTAGCTGTTGGTATAAGGGAATCTGGGAATAATAATTGAGTATTTAAAATGTAGATCATTAGCGAGATATTCTGTAGACTTTGAGGATATATGGTTTGGATAACCAAAAATATTTTCTCACACACTGATTTGTCAAGCATAGTTAACTTTAGGGGTGCAGCTTAGTACACTCTGATCCTTAGAATAATTCAGGATTAAATCTTGAAGGGACTTCCTTTCCATATGGACTCCACTTTTTTAAGAAATAGAATTTTAGTCTGGTCTGTGGGGAAAGGCAAGATTAGCCTTAAGTAGAATTTTAAAGTGGGCAAATTTATTTGCCTCTTTCTTTCAACATTTTTTTTTTTTAAGATTTTATTTATTTATTTGAGAGAGAGAATGAGATAGAGAGCATGAGAGGGGGGAGGGTCAGAGAGAGAGGCAGACGCCCTGCTGAGCAGGGAGCCCGACGTGGGACTCGATCCTGGGACTCCAGGATCATGACCTGAGCCGAAGGCAGTCGCTTAACCAACTGAGCCACCCAGGTGCCCTTTCTTTCAACATTTTTTATTGACACATGATATAACTATAGACAAGTATAGGAAACTTACGTATAGTTTGAAGAACAATTGGAAAGCTAATCATTAGCCAGGTCAAGAAATAGAATATTACTGATATTCTAGAAGTCCCTGTTTGTCCTTAGGTCACAGTATCTCCTTTCCTAGGGTAACAACTGCTAGGGGTAATCAATCACATAAAATAACTCCTGCAATAATACTTCCTCTGCTTTCTAAAAATAATTTGACTGTATGTGAACATATCTCTAAGAAATATAATTTAGTTTTGTCTGTTTTTGAATGTTATATAAATGAAATCACCTGTTTGCAATCTTTTTCTTCTTTCTTTTTTTGATTATTAAGTCTATGAAATTTGTCTATATTTTTGCATACGGTTGCAGTTTGTGCATTTTCATTCCCAGATAGTATTCAGTTGTATTCACACATGGCTATTTGTCTATTCTATACTTTTGACCAATTTTTGAGTGATTTCTAATTTAGTTTCTGTAAAAACAGCCCTATTATGAACATGAATCCTGGTGCACGCATGCAAGAGTTTCTCTAGGAATAAGAAGTAAAATCCCTGGTTGGTGGGCTATTTGTATGATGCCTATTTTCCAAAGCGGTTATTATCCAGTTTCCTAATTTTTGCCATTCTGTTGGGTGTTTAATATCTTTTATGTTTTTAATTTTTTTTTTAATTTTTATTTATTTATTTGACAGAGAGAGACACAGTGAAAGAGGGAACACAAGCAGGGGGAGAGGGAGAGGGAGAAGCAGACTCCCCACTGAGCAGGGAGCCCGATGCGGGCCTCGATCCCAGGACCCCGGGATCATGACCTGAGCCGAAGGCAGACGCCCAACGACTGAGCCACCCAGGCGCCCCTATGTTTTTAATTTGTATTTTTTTGATTGCTTATGAGATTGTGTTCCTTTATTTAATTAATTTATTTGCCATTTGGATTTCTTTTGTGAAGTCCCTGTTCAGGTCATTTTGTCATTTTCCTTTGGGTGTTCTGTCTTTCCTCCACTCTGCATTTTTATCTTCCAAAGTATGTCTTGTGGCCTCTTTCACTGAAGTGCCCTGCTCAGGTTTGCTTACCTTTAGAAATGAGATATATATATATATATATATATATATATGGGGTGCCTGGGTGGCTCATTTGTTAAGCATCTGCCTTCGGCTCAAGTCATGATCCCGGGGTCCTGGGATCGAGCCCCTGGGCTCCCTGCTCAGTGGGAAACCTGCTTCTCCCTCTCCCACTCCTCCTGCTTGTGTTCCCTCTCCCTCCTTCTCCCTCTCCCACTCCCCCTGCTTGTGTTCCCTCTCTTGCTGTGTCTCTGTCAAACAAATAAATAAATAAAATCTTTAAAAAAAAAAAAGAGATATATATGTTCTAAAAACACCTCTTTCCCCCTCATTTTTGGGGTAAACTATCAGTGCAGTTATTTCTCAGGTGTTAGGTAGGAAGTAGACCAAGTAAACCAATGTCAGAAATACAGAAGGGATTCTTTCATTGAGAGAATGTTAGACTAGATTGGATTAGTTAACCTCCATTTAAGGCCCATTCTGGTTTCAGTGTCATAAGCTTCTAACTTATATTCAATATGTGTAACTGATTCTTTGGCACATCAAAGAGACATCTCTGCCTTTCAGTATACCTATAATTAATCTGGGGTGCAGAAACTGATATATAAAAACCAAAATGCCAAAAATTTTAATTTGTAGAGAGAAATGTAATTATCAGATTCACCAAATTAGGTCAATTTATTCTCTGTGGAGGTCCATAATTCTCAACCAGTGGAAGGAACTCATAAGAATCTCACAGTTTTAGGGTGTTTTATAAAATGATAAACAATCCCTTGGGAATTTTAATATGTGGAATGCCTCCTGGTTAAAAATGACTGCCCTAGTGAATCACTGTTAGTGTTGGGATTATATTGACCCCTTTAGTTATGTTGGAGAGGAAAGGTAGAAAACATTGCATTAATATATATGGGAAGACAAATTTATAATAAGCAGGTTGTCTATTAAGCTTAGAATCAGAGCCCAGGGGAATTAGTTATATTATCTTAATGACTGATGTCATCAGACTGTGACACATTGATGCATCTGTCTCTGTTTTAAGACTCTTGGTTTCACGAATCTGATACTCATGTTTATGGGTGGGGCATTTTCTTCCCATGTACTGGAGTCAAAATTCCAAATTGACCGTTATAACTACCGTGTAGATGAACCCATATGTTCATCATACAGTTTACTGTAATCTAGTCATGTCTCCATGATATTAAAATTTGATAACCTTAATTGGTGCATATTCTTGGAGAATAGTTTTATTTTTGTGTATATATTGGGGTCTGTTTATGTTGTTAGCGTTCTGTACTTCTAGGTGGCATTTCAGACAGTGTGGATAGTATTTTGGAGATAAGGTTGTGGAGTGTGAGGATGGTGGTGGGTGGGTTCTCTCTAGCTTTGGATATTTTCTTCTTTTATTCCACACCTCCACTAAACTCAAGAAATGGGATTTTCTTCCTTCATCTTTGAGCCCTTCTTCCCCAGACTCATTTCTGATTGTTTCCTTGGCCTTATAGTGTGAATCACTCACAGTCCAAATCTCAATTTTCTTAGAAGACGGTCTTCAGACCAAACCTTGGCAAGGCCAGTCCTACTTTGGATGTTCTTCATTTAATCACACTTCTTGGCAGTTGCTGTAGAATTGGAAGAGTTGGGTTGTTGGTACCTTTGATCTCTTACCCTAGTCAGTAACTTAATTTGCACCTGCATGCTTTGCTTGCATTTTGTTTTTTAGCTGTTTCATTTTTTTTACTTGCCACCTAGTGGCTGAAATGTTGCTACAGTATTGATAAGCTGCACCAATTTTAGCAAAATAATGAGGCAGAGTACCTAAAAAGATTATGTAGCCTTCCCTCCTTTCCCCTCCCATGGTAAGATTATCTTTAAAGGTGCCACCCAGATGATCATCAATCTTTGAATTAAAGGTTTATTTCAAATAGTTGCTTGTTTGGTGGTTTATATTATTATTTAGGCCCAAAGCTTTGATTTAATTACTTCCTTTTAGCTTATTTTTGAGATGGACAAATTCTTAAGAACATATCTCTGCTCTGTCCTGTTTTTCTTATTGAGCTGAAGTCTTAGGGGATCTTTGTTCTTAATTGTGAAGCATTATTTTACTTTTATCCAACACTTTTTTACCACTAAGGAGCTACTGGAAATTAGAACTATGATAAAGAAGGGATAAAATATACTTGTTTTTCAAATAACAGCATCTTTTGATAAGTCATTCTTGAAAATTAGGAATGCTTGATAAAGTACTTCTCATACCTTCTGAAATTACCTGATAACTTTTGTTGGCTATTTTGTGATTATCTTGTTTGGTAGATTCTAATCTTTTTTGATTGAACTTAATTCGGCTTTTTTGCATTGTTTACAGAGGTTAGATTAGAATTAAAAGATAAATGATTTTGTATCTTTACTCGATATTACTGGTTTTCACTTATCTTGACAATAATTTGTGCTT